TGTGTTGATTTTGTGCTCTTTCTTATGAGCATCTCTGGCTTTCTAGACATACTATTTAGGGGTATTTTTAGCACAAGGGGGACTCTCCCAACTGTGGGGAGGTCCATCATGTCCTAGGTAATAGGAGAGGTGTGTTGAGTGATCTGATTCAATGGGAGCAGCTAAAATAGTGGAAGCTTTGGAGCAAAATGTTGTCAGTTTTGGACATCTGTTCCTTCCCCATCAGCCATTCATGGCTGTATCTGCATCCCTCAGTCTTGATGTCTACCTGCTGCCTTATGGTTTCAGAAAATGTTTTAACATGCCATTAGTTCTTTCCATTATTCCATTTGCTTAAGGATAGTAGGGCGTGTGGGAAATCCAATTGATTCCTTCCTGTTTTGCCCAGTCTTGCACAATTTTAGCAGTAAAATGTGTGCCATTATCTGATTGAACCGTTTGAGGTTTTGGGAGTGTCCCAAACCATGTTTTCAAGCCAATAACTGTGTTTTCCCCTGTTGCCTGTGCAAAAGCTTCTGCCTGGACTAATCCTGATAAAATTTCTACCCCCACTAATACATATTGCTTGCCTTCTGATTTCTGGAAGGACCAATATAATCTACCTGCCAGGCTTCCCATAGTCCTTTTCCAGTTCTCAGATCAGGATTTCCTCCTAATGTCTGACCCAAATCTTCCCTCTTCCAATTTAAAGCCATTCCTCCTTGTCCTATCACTATGTGCCCCTTGTAAAAAGTCCCTCCCCAGCTTTTCTTCCCTGCGGATACTGGAAGGTCACTGAGGTCTGCCCAGAGCCTTCTCTCCTCCAGGCAAACAAGCCCAAGTATCTCTGCCTGTCTTCACTGCAGAGATGCTCCAGCCTTTTGCTCAACTTCATGGCCCCCCTCTGGACCTGCTCCAGGATCTTCATTGTCCTTCCTGTGTTGGGGGCTCCTGAGCTGGACACAGTACTTCAGGTGGGGTCTCACAAGTGCAGGGTAAAGGGGCAGAATCACGTCCCTTGGCCTGCTGCCATGCTTCCTTGGATGCAGACCAGGACATGGTTGGCTTTCTGGGCTGCAGGAACATGTTGCTGCCCCATGGGGGACTTCTTGTCCACGATCATCCCCAAGACCTTTTCCTAATCCTATAGCATCAATGCTTCCAAAGCTCATCTCTTACTTTGTAATTAAAAGCACATATATGTACATCTCTTACTTTGTAAGCATGTAGATAAATATTTTCCTTCTCACAGTTACAAATTTCATGTACAAACAGGTTTTATTTTTTTACTATCTATGCCAGCTTCTTTTTGGAAAAGCCTACATGAAGCATAGGATGTATATCTGTAACAATAAACTTTGTTGGGCAAACCCTGTCTTCAAACACAAAGAATAAAACCAATGCCAGTGCCACATCCACCTTTGTCTCCACCTGTCCCACTCAGCACCTCTCCATCAGCTTCCCTCAGCACACTTCAATCTTCACCATTCATTTCCAAAATGTCTTGGAGGTTCTTCACCACATGTGGAGACTGCTTGGCAGCCAGTTTCTTCAGTCTGGAGCCCATCTTTTGGTAGAGGCTCTTTGCAAGCTTGGAGACCACAGGTTTGGGGACAGGCCGGGCTGTGGTCCCCAAGAGATGCCAGAGGGCGGGCAGGGTGTAGTGCTGGATGGTTTGGGGTTTCCGGTGATAAGATAATTTCACAAGCACTGCCAGGTGAGAGAGACAAGTTTCTTAACAACCTCAAAGCAAACAAGTACCTACTTTTACTTTTGGTTCTTGGGAGGCTTTTCTGGCTGACTTTAGTAAGCACAAAGGGTCTGATGATCCAGAAGCAGGCCACAGTGAAACAGACCATCCACTGAACAAAACAACCAACTCTGAGTACCTTGATTTCTGCAAATCAGAGGCTTTTTATCTGTCACAGACTTAGCAAAGTGAATCATACATGTTTGTGGAATAATTTCACCACCCCCTTTTACATTACAAATGATCAAAATGTCACATCACTGTTTATTTCCATGAAGAAGTTGTCTACACCAGCTGCTGAAGTTTTAGAAATGCAGCTGAGAGACGTAATGGAAAGATTTCTAATGAAAAGGACATCTACTTTTTTGTCACCTTTGATGAAAAATACCAGAGTTCAATCTGGCAGTGCCCTCTGCTCAGAGGCACACAGCAAACAGCAGTATTCTACCACGCTTCCAAACTCCAGCTCAAAAATGCTGTGGGCTGCTTGGCAGTTTTCTTAGAAACACCAATGACTACTGGTGTCTTTGGCAGAATGGTCTAATCTGAGCTTCTTCCCTCTCATTCTCAGTGGCTTCTAAGGAACACCTGTTTCAAACTTCAGCATGTGTTAGATAATCACCCAGATACTATTGCCAGGGCATTTGAGCACCTCACACTTTTAATGGCATTTACCCCATTTATTCTTCTGGAATGGAAGGACCTTGTTTTCTCTATGCTGTTAATCTAGCAGCAATCACCAACATTTCAGAAGTACATACAAACCATTCTGATAGCAGGAAAATGAGTATGATGCCTATTTTACAACAGGAGTCAATTTGGGTTTAAATGTTGTTAATCACAGCGGTCACTATGGAGCTTCATAATAGAAAGGGTTGTCTGTTCCCACTCAATCCCAGGGAGAACATCTCCTCTCTCTACACTGGTCCCAATTTATGTTCAAATGCTAGCTTTGAGAAAGGAATCAAAATAGTTGTGAAATTACATTCTGTGTTTATGGAGATTTACTTTATTCAAATTATCTTTAAAGGTCCTTTTGCATTTGCTCTGGCTGAACATGCTCTTTTGAGATGCATAAGCAAAATGTATTAAACCTTGGATTAAAAGATGCTGGCATAGTTAGCAATGGAGTTAGCCCTGATTCAAACAAGGCTGGAAACAGTCTAGTCTATATTGAGATGGTAAGTTTTTCCATTCCTTGGCTGTCATTGACGTAGCCAGCTACTATTATAAATCAGTTAGCAGCAGCAGCCAGGCAAACCCCTGCCAAATGCACCTGGGATGTGTACTTTGCAGGGAGGACAAGCTTGAGACTTTCTGATGTTTGATGAGCTCCTGCACTCTCTACTCAGAGACATTTCTGAAGAATACTTCTTGACTGAGAAGTGGAGATGGGATGAAGCAGGAGTTACCTGAGAGATATTTTGTGACATCCAGGAGAGCTTGGCCGGAGAGGTGAGGCACTTGGTTGGCAAACAGTTGCAGCAGAGGTGTGGTATCTGAAAGAGAAATATTTTTTTCTCCTCGTGCTTCTGAGGTTATAAAAAAAAAAAAGGGGGAGACAGGACAGGACAGGAAAGGCCAGGGACAACTGCACTTTGGAAAATAAAGACAATTTCTGCTCGTTTCTGAGTCCTTTTCCTGTTCTTTCCTTCCAGCTTACTTGGGAGGATTTTAAATTCAAAAAGAAAAGCTTTAATTTCCCATTTGATAATACAAAGTTGACTGCTATGCAGGGGCTGTGTTAAACTTTTCACCTCTGGGCCCTCAACATTTAAATCCCAGTGAAAAGCTGTTGTATGCCAGAGTTTTGCAGAAGTGACCTCCTCCCTTCTCCAAGGAAAAGGGTGAGAAGGCTCAAAAGTCCATATGTCTGGTCCCACTTTAAGGATAATCTGGCTTTAAATCTTTAAGACAACTGTTGGCATCTATGGATAAGACTCCAAGTTTCTCTTACAAGAGAGAATTACTGCTCATTGCCAACATCACCTGATCTCAGGTAACATCTCTGAAATCACAGCATGGCAGAGAGACTAGCAAACAGACTGATTTCCCAAAACTTGACTGTCATCTATATTTTCATTTTTCTTGTGCTGCCTGTTGTTGATCTGAGGTCTTCTTTTAATTTATAAACTGTTGCCTGGATTAGTCTGCAAGCCTCCAGTCTTACTGCTTTCACAAGCCGAGCAAAGCTTTCTTGGAGGCAGAATGTGAGTGGCATGTGCTCTTAGCTATCAAAGTCAGTGGAGCAAGGGGGCAAGACATTGTGCTCGCTCACTTAGGATTGATGAGAGGGGAGTGACAGAAAGCTCCAGACAAAACCCTGGAGAGATCTGTTTGCCTCATCCTCTGTTAGCAGGATTCTGCAGCTTTTCCCCAGCCTTCTCCCAGGCACCACAAAATACAGGGAGGAAGCAAGAGCAGTGCAGGTCTCAAACCCTTCTCCTGACTTAATGACCAAGAACAACCCTATACTTATGAAACAGAAAGGCAGCCAATTACCTGAGCTGCCAAAGCAGATGACATGGAGAAAGCTGTTATATCCCCTTTTAAGACTTGCATCTTCAGAACTACATTCTTCAGGCGTATTCATCCCGTGCTGCATTTTCACAGCTGACATTAATATGTGGGGCAAAGAAATTTTACAGCAGACCCTGGCTATGTAGTTATGGGCTATAATAATCTTGCCCCATGCAGAACAACATTTGGAACAAAGCACAATTTACATATATGTGGATTTATATCTGTTTGTTCTAAAGAAAATAAATTGGCAAATCTTAAATACCCCTTAAAAAAAGAAGACAAAGAAGAAAGGTGGAAAATAGAGAGGACCAGCTAATGCCCCCATTAGTAGAGTCTTCCAGGAAGCTGTTCTGCAGAAGCTCTGATGGGCCAGTGTTCATCCCTTCACAGCAAAAGCAAAGCAACTCATTTGGGAAGCCAAACTTGACCCAAACAACCTAAAAAAATCCTGTTGTCCCTGAATTGTAGCAAAGTTGTACTCCAGGATTTACTGTTCAGCTCCTTCTCTACTCAAGCAGACAAGCAGCACTGAGCCAAAGGCTCCTGGGACTTTGGGAAAATGCTGGTACACATTCCAGTCTGTCTGGGAACTGGTGCATAAGGACTGTATCACCACAGCTTCTGGCTATCCAGCTGACCTGTTACAGTCGGCAGGAATTCAGTCCTTTGGTGGACAGCAGACATGACTCTTGGCTCCGAGATGGAGGAGCCGCAGTTGAGGAGAGTCAATGCCAGAGGTCAGCCTTACCTAGGTGAGCCACAGATGCTTCCAACACCTTCACAGCCCCAGCATAAATCCCTGAGTCCTTCGAGTTCAGGTGGCTAAGGACTGCTGTCATGAGACGGGGTGTCACTGGCTTTAGGGCACCTCTGAGTATGGGTATTATTACAGCAAACACCTCCAGCGCCTGCTGGCTCACTCTCTTGTGGCAGTCCTGAAGTGTCAGGACCAAAACACCAAAAATCTGTGAAGAAAACAAACAACATGAATGCTGGATTCAAGTGTCTTTGTTTCAAGAAGGGATGTAGAAACAAATACCCAGCAAGGTACAAGATGATTGCAATCCTTTCTGCCAGGTCAGCACTTGCTATCAGAGTTCCACTGTTTGCCTGTGGGCTGCTCCTTGTACCAGCTGCCCAGCCTCGTGCTGGTTGAAGAAATGGTCGTATTTCATTAACAGGTTTGGATGGGAACAGGAGAGTTCATATGGTGCTTCTCTTTACCTGCACACCATTAATTTAGTCTAATTTTAATAACAGAAAAGAGAATATTTGGTACAGAGGTTTGAAAACAGGTACTTAGGATGCCCGTTTTCTATCAAGTTGTGTCAAGCGCTGAGGGTAGTTTTGATTTTGCCAGAATCGTGGCTGGATGAGATCCAAGTTTTGTTTTATCCATCTCAGAACCTGCATCAGGAGGAGTGCAGGGCTCTGATGAACTCTTCAGGATCCAGACCATTTATATTCAGGATACCAGACAGAATTCTTAAGTTTAATGTGCTGTGCAGTTGTCATTAGAGCAGGTTCAGTCCCTTGACAGACACAGGATCAGGCCCCATTTTCTGGAAAAGGGGAAAAAAGCAGCTCCTGGAGAAGAAGGAAGGGAAAATCTGTGTCTAGCCATTGTCCTTCCCTTTCCAAAGGAAAAAAAAAAAAGGACACCCAGGAAGGATGAAAAAGTCTTTCCCAAGCAGGAAAGGGATGAGGATGGAAGTGAATAAGCGGCGTAGTGTCTGCACAAGACAAGTTAAAAGTTTACAGAAGCATCCTTGAAAAAAAGTGTTATGTTGCGGTTTTTTTAAATAAATCAACTCAGCCTGATACTTCCTCCCCCACCCCCATCTGGTCTTCTTCTAGATAGTATCTGCCAAGCTTTCAGTGGCTGGATTTCTTCTCTTTCTGCCTAGCTAGTAGTAGGAGTCAGCAGAAGCTACAGCAACAGTAAATGTTACTCTTATAATCTCATGAACAGCACCAATAGGCACCTGCTAGAAAAATGTATCTGCACTGAAATTACTTGCCCTGTTGCCTGGAGATAAATTAGATTTTTGGGATAAGGAGGGACCTGCCTGTCCCAAATGAGTAGTACATAGTGCCAAGACACACTGAGTTAACTTCACTGGTACAGGCTTGGGGAGAGAGCTAATGAGAAAGGAGCAATGGAGATGCCTTACATACCTGGAAAATGTGACTGGAAATTAACTGGGGGTTGCTTTTGCAGAGATCCAAGAGGAGTACCAATCCCTTCATTCGTGACTGAAACTCCTGGGCTGTCAGGAGGCCTTTAAGCTCCAGGAGCTGTGCAGTGTCTTCCACAGTGCCAGCTGAGGTGTGAGGGAGTTTCTGACAGGGCAAGGTCCGTCCACCTGGGCCAGACTTCAACCTGGAAGATAAAAAGAAGTTAAGACTTTCTGGTGATGATGGCTTCAGGTAATTGTGAGGAAAACATCTTGAGGAGACTTCCTAATCATGTGATTTAAGCTAGATCCTGATCTGAAAAGCAACTTTGCTCTCACAGCAATCCTTACAGGAGACAATCTGCAAGTAATGTTACTGCTAGTGCTTACTCAGGAAACCCAAGGTGCTGAGGATAGGATTCATCTTACCTATCTTCAGATATCTTCCCAGGTACTTATCTGGCACCCCTTGGTGGAGGAAAATAGGCACTACTTGAAAGTTTACATGCCTCATCTTATGGGAGGAGTCTGCTTTATAAGGAAATTAATTGCTCTGGAGATGTGTCTATACAACAGGTATGGGAATCTGGATGAAAAGCTCAGATGGATCTGAAGAGACGAATCCTACCCAGAGAGATTCAGGGGCATATCTGAAAGGATCCAGAGGATGAGTAACAGAGTTAAAAAGAGAAGCCAGCCACTCCACCTATTATGCTCATATTATTGTTTCCTTGGAGACCCATAGATTAACAAACCAAATGGGAGCAATTTTATTGGATCAGCCTCTCCCTGCCATGAGCATGAGGAGATCCTAACTGTGACAGTGAGGTGTGTGGTCACTTTCCTGCCACTGCTAAGTACAACACAGCTAAGTACAATCTCTGTTACCAGAGGAGAATAGGGACAAGTAACTCTCCCATTAGCATGGAGAGACAGCAATGACCAAATTCCTTGCTTGAAGGCTGACTGCAGCACTGAGGAAAAAAACAGTCTGTCCATCAACCAACCAGTAACAGGTCTGAGTGACATGAATAGCCATAGAAAACGTCCATGCTGAAACATCTGTCAACCAGAACTGCTCAGGAATTATCTTGCTGTTACTGCCTGAGGGTCAGAAAGCAATGACTCAGCCAGGCCAAACCACATGCCTGGAAAAAGCTCTTTTGGGGAATGGCATCTTGGTGCTAGACTGGATCTCCTCTTCAAACCACCCATCTGAAAAACACTCCACTCAGATGAGAATACCCTGATGGAAATTACTATTCCTAAGTGGAACAGCAGAGACATGACACTTTCACAGCCTCCACGACACTGTCCTTGCCACTGCACTGGATCTCCTGACCTGCAACCAGTGGTTGTCTCTTCCCCTCTCTCAATTCATGTGGAAAACTGCCCAAAGAATTTGTGTGCAGCCCAGTGGAGAAGTAGACACATTTTATCATAGAAGATTTGTGGGACAAGGAAACAATCTCTGGCAAAGTTGGCCTCCACTTGAGAGTTTACTGAGGAAGAGACAGGTAAAACTTGTCACATGCTTTGTCAGATGTTACAAAAGTGCTCAGTACCCTCCAATAGCAGGCAATTTGTCCTGGAATGTTTTCAGGTTGCTGTTCTTAGACACCCTCGGGTCCCCGGCAGATGGAGGTTCACATTTATGGTCTTCTTTCCCCTGTTTATAAATATAAAACCCCATGAATCTAAAGAAGATAAAATAGGAAAGTACTTGTTTAAAGCACAAGATATAACCAGGATCACTGCTACCAAAACCCCCTAGAAAACCTTGTGTAAATTTCAGAGGGAGATAGGCCAGAGATTCAGTGATGTCTTGCTAATTGTTTTCTATAACCCAAAGCAAGTTATAGGTGCTACCATAATAGGCAGCAGTATACAACCCTGAATTCATTAGCCTTGAGCACAAACGGGAATAATGCAAACAGGTAGGTAACAAGTTTTCTTAAAAGGAAGAGCAGGAAACTTTTGGAGTCTCAGGAGGCTCGCCCACCCTGCTGGGAGTTGATTTGGTTCACACTCCCTCCCCCTGTTTCTGCACAAAGGCACATTCCTTTCTAGAATCTAAGTGGAGAGGAATGAATGCTGGAAGCTGGATTCAAAAAGCTTCTTCCAGCTCCACAGTGCATCACAGCAGCGCAGTATTTCGAGAATACAAACAACATATGTATTACTTATGATTGCCTTGTGAATCTTTTGTATATTTGGAAATTTTATTGGCACTACTACTTCCTTTGTTGCAAAGACCCTGTTGTCTCCAGAAGCACTATATACTTTCCTTGCTTTATTGGGCAGAGGGGAGAAGGAGGATGCTGTTGTATTTTTTATGCTTGAAGGTAAAACCATTCTCTTGTACTTCTTTCTCCTGCCTGCAGCTGATATTTAAAATACACCCACTTGATTTCTAACCATACTGGTTCCTTCACTGTATGCAGATAAACAGACTAAGGATCAACCCAGGAGCATTCCCAGGAGCAAAATGATTCAGTAGAATAAGAATGAGATAAAGAAAGATTAGGTATGTTTAAACTTGTATTAGTAATCTCAGTACTTGCATAAAGGAGACATTCTCCTGCCAAACACTCACTCTCTTCTTCATTGTGGCCATGATTTCCTCCAAGTCATGTGAGAAGGCAGGCTGTCTCAAATAGTTACCAAATTTTGGATGACTCATCAATATATTCAGCATCTGCTGTCCATAACACCTAGCACAGGAAAGACAGAAATGAATGACTGCTTTTTCTACAGGCTATTGCTGACTTTTCTCCCTGGTGAATTAACAAAGGAAAAGTGTTAATAGAATAAGCTGATATTTTAAGCTCCCCATAGAAGGTATTTCCTGTTCAGCAGAGAGGCATTCTTACCTCCATCGACTCCTGCTGCACAGTGCTGCCAGTTGAACATAAGAGGCAAGAGGAGAACACAGGGCAACAGAAAAATACAATCCCACTCCGGAATTTTGAGAATGCTTCTGTAGGACTGAAGGATCCTACAAGATGAGCAAAGCATGTCTCCTGCTTTGCTGCCATGGCCTATTTGCTGTGTCTGGCACAATAATTTACCTTTCTTTAACTGGCAGAGAAGCTAGGACAAATCACCTCGTGCTCACTATTTATTATTCAGCTAGTTCCTCATGCGTTCTTTCCAACTCCTAATTGGAATTTAAATTAATAATCTAAGTAAGGGGGGTTTGGTTTGGTTTTGCTACAATGAAACTACATCTGTTTTCAAGAGGAAAGGTCTGTGGTCTTTCATCCACAGACATTGTAAAAAGACTGGGAAGAAAAATCTGTGACTACCGTAGGCAACTAAATCTGCAGAAGAGATTTAAAAAGACTGAATCCATTAGTTGAAGCCAGCTGGAAATTTTTTAGGACAGTCTCAACCTTACTGGAAATAAATGTTTAGGACCATCCAGACTAGCCAAGACTTCAGCTTTGCCTTGAGTGCATAAGACCAAACAAAATTGTTTCACTGACTAATCTGAGCTCTCTTGAACTGAATACAGAATCATTCAAGTCACAGGAACTTGTCAGTGGTCCTTCCTGCTGGACAACCTTATGTTGCTTAGTAGTCATTTCCACAGACAACATTATCCACACTGTCAAGTAACTCTCTTAATGCTCACTTTACCTTCCACTCCTTTGTGGTTTTATCATTTATAGCCAGACATCTAACAGTTCTCAAATGTTAGGAGGTGGGATGAAGATCATCACCTCGTGTCCTGCTGACTGTCCCGAGCAAGCCTCACCAGCGCGCACAGCAGCAGCTGGGTCCTGTCGCTCCTGCCTGACAGCAGCTTCTCAGCTCCCATGTGCTCCATCACCGTCAGCAGGTGCTTGGCCGCGCATTTCCGCACCAGGGCGTTGCAGTGCCTGGGAACGAGAGAGCAAACACTGGGGCAGAGGGAAAAGGAGGGCCACAAGTACAGAGCTCAGTCACAGCGTGGTCCCTGTCACTGTTGGGGACGGAGGCCTGGCTCCTCATTGCAGTTTTAGCCATGTGTAGAAGATTCTGTCCTCAGATAAACACCAAGTTGGCATTGTACAGAGGGGCTACGTGCAAGGAAGAGGGAGGAATTTAATCACCCTGGACTACTTGATGTACAGTTTCTTTCCCAACATTAACTCTGAGAAAGGAAAATGAAAGACGATTCGTGCAGACTTGTCAGAGGGGTCCCACTACACACACAACACACTGCAGCAGGATTGAGGCTAGTTCCACCCAATTACCTCCAAAACTGCAAACCCTTATAAAAAACAAACTGGGGGAGAAAAACCCTGTGGAGCATAAAGATACAGAATATCCACCTAAACATCCAGTTTGTTCTCTGTGCCTTGGCAAGAGGTACCTTTGAGTGTGCTGCCCCCTTTAAAAGCAGAGGAAAGGGCAGCACTTGTTTTAGCCAAGCTGTCCTCTCCAGAGGGTGTCCCTTGGCAACTATCAGCCACAGCACTAAAATTTTAAGGCAACATTTAGTTCAGCTACCCCATGGCAGTTGGCTTGTGATGGCACCTGTAGAGCAGCTCACCATCTCAAAGCTAACATACAGCACCATTTGAATAGCAAGTGGAGCTGCAAGGATACGACGGTCAGACAGGCTTCTCACAGCAGGAGCTGCACCTGCTGAGCAAGCTGTGTCACACCCAGCGGGTTCTCCTCCACATGCTCTGTGTCCAAGCAATTATTCTCCTTATTTCTCAAGTTAATAGCATAATGGTGATGCCTGTTTTTTCCCAGTGCCTCTGTGGTTAGCACTGTGAAATATCAAAGGGCGCTCACTGCTGGAATCCCATTGTCCCTCTTCCCACAAAGCCACCAGGCTGTATAACCACCCTTTGCAGGAACTTCTGGTTCCCCATCGTTCACCATATCTAGGCAGTGTTGACAGGCTGTGGGAACAAACAGGCTGCAGTAGGGCAGACACAGATGACAAGAGGAAGGAAGCAAAGTTGATGAAATAATCTAATTACTGAGTTCAGAGAAGATGCAGGAGAAAGGACCCTTCCCTCCCACCACTCTCCCTCTGCCTCCTGTCCCTTCCCCCTGCCCACACAGTTTAATGTGAAGGATATCATGAAAAGAAGAATGACATACCTGACTCCAGTAGCCATGAGAGCAGTTTTTGCTCGTGCAGGTGTCACGTTCACCACCATCACTCCTAGAGACTGATCAGCTGCTTCCCGGATTAACTTGCTGGAGTCCCCTAACTTCGGAATCAAGACTGAAGCAATTGTATCCACCTCCTGGTCCATCTGCTTCCTCAAGGTCTTGAAGAGCTCTCCAAGAGTGACGACCGCACAGCCAGACACCTTTGAGTGGTGTTTTTTCACCTGTACAGGGCAAGAGGAGGAAACACAAGAAGCAGCTTGTAAAGAAAATCAGTTTCCCTAAACGAAAGTCCCAGGAAATAAAATGACTTCTCACTGTGTCCAGGTGAAACATAAGAGCACAGTTAGAGCAGAAGAGCACAAACACAGAAATACACTCACTCTGACACCAACTTCTTCTCTAGCCTCAGGCCCACTTATGCAAGACAACTTTAATGAGACTGCAAGCCTAAAAATATGGTTTCACCTAGAACAAAGTGTGTTATTTAGTCCATAATTGACACTGCTTTGATTTGAGGCCCTTTTGTTGAAAACAAACAAACAAACAAAATAAAGCAAGGACTGTTTTTAACCTAAGAAGGCACAATTCTTAAAGACAAGATAGAGGAAAAGTAGCACTTTCCTCCTTTCCAAAGGTGCAGTACTGGCAGTTTGAGCAATCAGCCAGGAAAAGGAAAATATGGGCTTCAGTCTACAGGCTATTTTGCAGTAGGGACTCGAATCCATGTGCTGCTCCATCTACTCAGGAGAACCCCAGCTGCTGGCCTCAAGGCACTCGTGGATCCTGGAGATCAGTTGTAGTTACAGCTGCAATCTGTGGGGTTTCAGAGCACCTAGTGCTGCTGTGGAGTGATCCCTGATTCCAAAAAGCTCTCTCATATGAGTAAAGAAGACACATCTGCTTTCTGCCAGACTTGGTTGTGCCTATTAATAACAATGAATAACACGAGAGCTAGAAATGCATGTTAAAGCAAAATCTGGGACTAGACTGAAATGAAAACTGCAAGATGTCTGTGCACGTGAGGGTGTGTAACAGAGAGGAGGAAGTTTCCTCAGAAATGTAAAAATTATATTAAAATCAGATGAGCTAAAATGAAAGGGCTGCTTCTCCTAACCCTGATCTCAGAGGGGGGGAGTCCTGCATATCTAAGCCAAAAAGTTAGAGGAGCCCAACACCATGAGCAGCATTCAAGCCTCCAATGTCACTAAATATGGGCTAAAATGACTGATTTAAATGGAAATGAGCTACGTCTCCCTGTCTCCTGCAAGCAAAGGAGAATTTAATATGTTTGGCATTTGTGTAATAAGATGACAAGGCAGCTTGTTCAGGCCACAGACAAATGCCAAGTTGGAAACATAGCCACAGGTGTTATTAAGGAGTTTAGGTTGAGATCTCTCTATTAAATGAGAGATGAGAGGACAGCTGTGCACAACTGCCCTGCAAACCCCACCGTCAGGCCACTCCAAGCAGCTGGTGGAGGCAGTGCAAAATTCCCCCAGTGCACAGAGGCAGCAGATCAACAGAAAGGGCAAATTACCAAAAAGAAATTAAGAAAGATAAGACATCATCAGGAAACACTGGAAAATGAGTACCTGCAGTCAGTCCCTCATGATGCTGAGGGGGAGGAGGAAGTGGGAGGAAGCTGGGAGGCAAAAGTTGCAGTGTCTAATTACAGCTTGGGCAGAGATTCGGGCAGTGGCAAATCACCTCATTTCTGTCTAAACTTCTGCACTTGTATGTTGCACTATAATGACACCTGGCTCAAAGAGGACAGGCATATGTCCTAGATAGCAGTACATACAGCTGTATGTACAGACACATCACACAGATGAGTGACACAGCTATTAGAAAAATGAGGACTAAAAACAGCAGAGAAGACAGACACTGAGCACACATGTGAATGAACAAGCACACACCTGCCCTTCACCCCACGTACAGGGTACATGGGACACAAACGCAGTGTTCTTACCTCTTCGGTAATTGCCACAGAAACATCATGCAGTCTAGAGAGAAGGATTTCTGAGTGGCAGATAGCCAAGTGTCTGATGTTAAAGAGTCCCTTCATCTGCTGCTCCCTGAAAGGCAATTACCAAAAAAGACTGATTGTTCTCACCACCCAAGAACTAGGCAGCACCCTCGGAACTGAGCAGGGTGGTGGCTCAAAGGGAGATACTTCTCATGTAGCACTTGGTTACATCATGGAACTCATCACACGGGTTGCTGTGGCAGTCAAAAGTGCACATAAATACTAAAGGTAAATAGATGGCGTCAGAGTGGATGCATTAATTTGTGGCTATTAAACAAGATGGCCTTCCTGAAATCCCTGGCATGTGAAGTCCCTGTGTTGCTGCTTCCCAGAACTTGGAACACTGTGCCCTGTTTCTGTTTCTTGCACCTTTTCTATAACCTGAGATGCAGTCCTGTCTGGCTGTTACAGGGGCATTTCCCCTCTCCCAGTCCTCAGAAGGCAGTTCAGCAGTGAGAGTCTGCACTGCCAGTCCATAGCTGAGTTTTTACTCTGCCATCTAGTCTTGTTGGTGGTGCACAAATGCTCAAATGCTGGATTTTCCAGCACTTAAAGCAACACCTGCCACAGCAATTACATTTAGCAATTTAAAAGGACTAAATACCAGCCTTGTTCAGCACTTTGTGAAGAATCTGAGCTACATGAAGGCACATGATGCAGTTACTGGTTCACCAGGGCTGCAGGGCCAGACTGGGGACCCATCCACACCAGGGTCCCTGTATGTAACCCAAACCTCACAGGGTATCCTGCACCTCACAGGGCACCAAACAGGAAGGGGGAAGAGAAAGGGGAGAGGGGTAAAACAAAGCAGTCACACCAAGAGAGATGCATCATGGAAGATTTGTCATGGTCACCCCAGTGTGAACTGAGCCCTAGTGAGCATATGCTGACCCAGACAACAAAAAGACAACCAGTAGGAGCTGAGCTGAGTTCTAAAAATGCAAGATTCCTAAAAGATTTTTTTGTCTTTTTCCTTGGCTTCTGCCATGAACCCTTCAGGAGAAACGACAGGCTGAGCAACTCTGCACCACATCTTAGTAATTTCTCAGAAATAGGAACTCCCCATAGGAGCTGCAAAGACCCACATGCAGGGGGACACAGGGAGGCTCTGACTCCCCCTGCTGCTTCCAGTAGCCGACCAGAGATAAATCCTTATGCAGTCCCATCTTGGCTAATGACCTGAAGCCCCCAGATCTCTGAACTCAAGACCTGCCTCTAGCTTCAGCCAGCAAATCCTCTTGTTCTACAACTTCCTCTCTTCTCTGAAGATTTCATCTGCAGCTACATGAAGCAGAAAGCAAAGCTCAGAAACAGCACAGAACTGCAGCAGCTGTAAAACTGCCACAGACCAAGGAGAATAAAAGGCTGCTCTTGCATTATTACACTGGGACTGCTTTGGAGTGGTTTCACAAGTTACCTTTGGACATCTGGGCTGTCAGGGCTCAGAGACACTAGAAAAAAAACTGTTTCTAGCTTACCTTTACACTGAGAGGGAGAAAGAGTGAACAGAAGGCTTCTTACCAGTTGTTGCTGCTGAGCAACCTGAGTGCAATGACCAGCACCTGCTGGGGCTGAGAGAAGGGTCTGGCTTCCCAGGCAACCCCATACCCTGTCTTCTCTCCTCGCTCCAGGGAGTCTAGAGAAATGGCCAGTGACTGGTTCGCTGTAAGGAGAGGGTCAGGTATCAGCACCACACACCCAGGGGCAAGGTACCTCGCCATTAAGCAGAATGCAACCTCATCTCCTAGCCAAGATTATGGACGGTATTTGTTCAGAGACTTTGCTGCTGGGTGGCTCATTGCTTTTCCCAGCACCCAGTCACCCTCAGCTGGACACCAGCTTCTTGTGTAAACCAGAAAACTGGACAGAGAGCCAGCTCTCAAGTTCATTGATGTACCAGAGCCAGCTTGCAGATTTTTAGTGCCACAGGGCTCCTGCTCAGTGGGAGCCATTGCTGCCCAGCAGGACTTGCTATCTCAGGAGTAAGCTCCTGAGATTGGAACATACTTCCCTCCATCACCTCACTGTTACCTGGAGCACGAGGGATAGATGCATCTTGTAACTTTCTGAAGAAACACCTCCAGCTGCCCCCAGTGGCCCCCAAGCCTGAACACTGAGTCCTGCTAGGCTCAGACAAATCCACAAGAAGCAGCCACTAGGTAACAGTGAAACCTGACCCTCTAAATCTGATGATGCCTCTGTCTCCATTTACTTCAAGTAACTTCCCAGCATCAGTGTTACATTTCAGACTATCAGCATGGGCAAAAACAAGAGCTTAAGGCTTTACTAGTACTTTATTTAGCTTAACTTTCAAGCGGATCTGTAAGCACCAGTTGCTCCAGTATTATAAAGCTGGAGTAGATCCAAAGTAGGTTTGCTCTGAATCCTCAGGAGAGCCTTTGGATCCAAGAGTGGAGAGTGCTGGACCACTCTATGGGCTTGGAAAGGGCTAGAAATCTTGCTGGAGCTGGATAACATCCCTTTGTTGTCCCAGATAACTCCAAGCAGAGCAGTCACACACTAGCACGGGACAATAATCAGAATGCAGTGATGTTTTCCCTAAAGAAATGAGAAACTCATGTGCCCGTTTGGTTTGGTGGGTTTTTTAGTAGTGGAGAAGGGGCCCCAGGGGTGGCTCCTGTAAGACGCTGAGAAGCTTCCCCTGCTCCAAACCCAGCCAAGGAGCCATTAGAGGGACGATGTGCCTCAGGGATTGACATAGGAAAGAACTGATGTAAGTCCCGAGCAGAGGCAGAGCGGTGCCTGTGGCTGATGAGGAAGAAGGGGAAAAAGGTGTCCAAGCAGAAGCTTCCCAGCAATCTGTGGTGTTCCTGAAGCAGCCCCTGATTCTGTGGGAAGCCCAGGCTGGAGCAGCTCTGGACCTCGTGGGAAGGACTTATGAAGGAGAGGTTCATGGAGGACTTCTCCCATGGGAGGGATCCCATGGGGAAGCAGGGCAGGACTGTAAGGAATCCTTATTCCTGAGAAGGAAGGAGCAGCAGGAACCACCAGCCTGTGAACTGACTCTAAACCCCATCCCCTGTCCCCCAGTGCCGCTGGGGGGAAGGAGGGAGAGAAACCGGGAACAAAGTGATTTGGGCCTGGGAAGAAGGGAGGGGTGGGGTAACATGTGCAAGCCCTGCTCTGTGTGTTGTCTGTGTCCTGTGTGTGTTTGATTAGTGTGAAATTAAATATTATTTTTTTCCCCAAGTTGAGTCTGTTTTGCCCAAACCTTAATTGGTGAAGATCCCTCCTTGTCCTTTGTCTCAACCCATGAGCTTCTAGTTGGGCTTTGTCCTCCTCATCCCACAGTGTGTGTGGGGTGTGGAGAACAGCCCATTGGTTCACAACAGGGGAGAGCTGAGTGAGCAGCCACGGAGATGGGTCTTTGTTGTTGTGTTAAGCCCAAACCACAACTCAGTCCTACTTCTCTTTTGCTTTTCAGAGGTTGGATGGTTAAGTTTCATTCTGGGAGCTGCTCACCAGTACTTCACAAAGTAATAGCAAGAAAAAGAGCAGAAAACCTTGTCTGATGCCCTTGTGCTGCATGCTGTCTCTGAAGTTCCCTGCCAGTACCTGCACTGGTGGCAGCTCATGCAGCAGCACAAGCAGAGCCCGTCAGCTGCAACACAGTCAGTAACGCTGCTCGCTCAGGCAGGTACAACGTAAGCAGTGGCAAAGGGCTCCAGCACAGCTCTGCAATGTGGACTCCTCAGCATGGAGTGGTATGAGCAGGATCATCTGTCCTGTCACACGAGCAAACTCTTTTGCAATTTAATTAGAAACCATTTAATTTTGTTTCTTCCGGGTTGGACCTGAGTTGAAAAACATTCTTTTGGACTCACTCATCCACCCTGCCTGGAGGCTACTCTCAGTTCCAGACTCTGCAAGACAGAATTACCCAGTCTGAAAGACTTTATATGGAAAGGTGATATTCTCTGACTGCCTCAGTGTGGGCCATGGGCAAGACACTTTGTGCCTCTGTATTTTTCTTTGGAAAGCATAGATAAATCCTATTTGAACTTCCACTCTGATACAAGGATAACAGCCTTCCAGTCTGATGTCATAGACATTTGCAATACTATGCAATCAGCAAGCAAGTGATGAAAAAGGCACACATCTATAGCAAGGCTTACTTTCTGTGCCTGCATCCTCAGGCTCAACACTCAGCCTAGGGAGCAGCAAGGGCTTTTCCTCCTCTCTCTGCAAAAGCTCCATTCGCTTTTGGAGTATCTTCTTCCTAACGGACTTGGACAAAGGAACACGGATCTGGTTGCAACAAAAATACATCATGGAGCATGAAGAGAGAGGCTCAAACAATACACATCATCTCATCAGGAACACAATGGTAGAGTCTCATAATCTTTAATGCAGTTCCATATATATATTCCAATCGTTTCAGAACCCTTCCTCCTTTCCTCACCTCAGCATACAATTACACCCAGTGGTGTGTAATTACACTCCATTGCCATAACCTTTCATGGTCCAATATACTGTTTCTCATCTGTGTCAGAAAGCCCTCCTTGAACTAACACAGTCATAGGAGTGCTCCGAGACATATGCAGAGCTCACGTTACCACTGAAAAAGCAGTTCTGTTCCTACAGGCCAGGCCAGGGGAAGAAAACCGATCTGTAACAACCAGCAAGCAGAGGTAATTTGTGTTTCTGGCCTTGACACTCAAATAATGCTTCTTAAATGGCCTTAGCACCATCTCCCAAACAGTGACTTCTGCACCAGTGAAAATACTCAAGCAATTGCTCTACAGCACTCAGATGTATTGCAAAGAGAATCCACTCCCTAAGGGAGGAAGCCTATGACTTTCAGTGACATTTTGTGCTAATCATTCAACAGTCGCTGAAAAGGAAGCCTGCTCACTCCCATGCTTAGTCCTTACCTTCCCATTGCTGTCCTTCAAGTCTTCATCACTTGGAGGGTGAGGCCTCACAAGATGATCCATTTCCTCAGCCTGGCTGAGCAGGAGACCTGTTAACGGGGACACAGATTTACACAAAGCTCCAGCAAACCTCATGCCACCACCAAAGAGATGTTAGAGAACAGGCAAGACAGGTCCCTGGTTCTGGACCTCTGGTAGGACATAGATAGAGATTATGTATGAGAACAGCAGGTGCTACCATTTTGCACACATGACAATCAAGAAGTACAAAAGGAATAAATTTCTTAAATCAGGATTTTCCTCCCTGTGGAATGGCCAGGTAACTAATAAAAGAGAGAGATGGTTTAATGATATAGCCCATTTCTAGCCCAGAGTGTATCCAGCAAGAATGTCACCTAATTTACTCAGCAATACTTCTCCCTAGTTGCATTTAGCATCCTAGCAGCATATAAGCCACAGAGGAATCATTCCTAGGGGCATGCCCACTATTTGGCAGAACAAATCCCGCACTGAGGGACCCGTAGATTGTATCCCTTCTCCTGCAGCGGCAAAATTGTTTGTTAAATGCTCCTATCTCCTATTGCTGGAAACCCTCAGATGGCAAAGGGTCCTTGAGGTTTTCAACTTAAGAGTGTTGGCTGACACAGATGCTCCAGGCACAAATGCATTTTGTCTTGCAGAACTCTTATGGCTAGTGATAGTGCAAGGCAGGAAGGGGGGGAGAAGATATGCAGATAGAGCAGGAAAAGAGATTTGTAATTATAAACCTAACTAGCACATGTGGTTTCAGGTAAATGACTTGCACAAAGGAAACCTCAGTTCAATAGTCAGCACTTAATTCAGGGTTCTGCTTTAAGAGGACAGAAAGCTCAGATCCTGCAGAGGCCGCATCCTGTCTTAAGTCTCTTTCTCCACAAATGGAAAATTCACAAGGACTTCCTATTACACAAGGTTTCACTATTTCTCCCAGTGCAAAACCAGGCAATGGTGATAAGTCTACTTCAGATCTCAAAGAGTCTGGGTTAGAAACTGCTTCAAGGGAAGATTTTCTCCTTCAGGTGTAGGAGGAAGGAGTGGGAACATTTCTCATTTTGTGGAAAATGCTTCATCTTTCTCTAACCTTTGGGACGTCAGGGAGTGGGCAGGGAGAATGAGCTTGGGTTAGAGGAACACATTATTTTCCTGCTGCACATTTCTGGGTCCCCAAGGCACCCGTCCAGCTCCTGCCAATCATAATCCCATGCTGGAGTCATTTTCACTGGATCACCAGAGCACATTTCCCAGTGACTGGGCTCTGGGATAGCTGTCTGACCTCTGACCTCATCAAAGAACAGAAAAAAGTTACAGGAGAGTTTTCAACCAGACTTTCACCATGCCACCCATGGAAGCTGTAGAGCAGGAACAAGGGAAGAAGTAAGTTAGTTCAATTCACCCCTTCACAAGCAACACACCTAATGAGTGAGGCATTGTCCTGGTTTCAATATTAAAAGTGAATCCCAAAAAAGCAGAGGACAGAACTGCTCTCTATTAATGCCCCCCTCCAGCCTCCCAAGGGAAGACAGAAGGGGAGTAAGGCAGAGAGACCTAAACTTTGGAAATTGAAACCAGAAACAAATTTACTACAACAGAAGGTAAGAGAGTAGAAAATGGGGGAAGAACAGGTAAGTATCTATATACAAAACCCATCCCAAGGATGGCAGGGATATGGGACAGGCAGGGCTGCTCCAGAGGAGAGGTCCAGGGCTCCTCCCAGCACCCGATGCAGTTG